GAATATGGAATATTATTTGTTTGATTTTAGATAGCTTTATTTTTTTTTTAAATAGATATAAATAATTATTAGCCAGCGTTAGCCATGTTAGAATTTTATTTTTCGTGAAATTTTCAGATGTTTTGATAGTTATTCTACTATTCCATACCTATTCCAAAAAAAAATCAAAGATCATAAAAATCGGTCCAGCAGTTCTCGAGTTATAACTGTTGTAACAAACCCAATTTTGTTTTATATATATATATATATATATATATATACTAGCAGAACCCGCGTATTCGCTCGCGCTAAAACTACAAAAATATCTCTAAAAAGGTAGTTTCATACAAACTTTCATCATCTATTTTACCCTCTTATAGGATAAATTTCGAAAAATGCTACAACACGTATTAATTTAAATTTATTGAAGAGCATTAATACCAAGTTTCAAGTAATTCTGATAAAAAATTTTTTTTTGGATTGTATTATAAAATATTTTCCCGTTTTAATTAGCTAATATGTAAAACCTAAAGCTTTGGTTTTTGGTCATCTGAACGCGGGCGGAGCCGCGGGCAATGCTAGTAGTACAATAAAAACATTTATCTGTGCTCATCCACTCTTAAATCTTTTTGTATCTGTCAACACTTGTCATCTATAGCGGCGATGTCTCAACTTATATCTGGTTTATCTGCTTTTTTTGTTAAAGAAACTATTACGGAATAGAGATGCTAGTTACAATATACACGTATTTTATTTACCCAAACCCCAACATATTCCACCATTAGAAGTGAACATTTTTTCGATAATACTTCCTTAGATTTACGCGAATATTTGACATTTTAAATAAAACTAAATTTTTGGATTATTTCGCGGATTTATTTCGATTTTTGGTTCCCGACGCGGTTTCGAATGCTTTACAGCGATCCTGGTCACGGGAGAGACATTTTTTGATATTTTATATTTGAAAAAAAAAAACCTTTTTATTTCTGCAAATTGTTAGGGACGAACTAATTTTGATCTTTTAGATTCGAAAATGTTATCATTTTCACCATAAGGGTCGATTTGTCTTTTGATTGTTGATTTTATGTATGTGCGTGCGATTGCAAAGCTTTTTTTGATAAGCGTTTTGTTTTGTGTTTGTCTGTTATATTTCTTTTTAGGGTTCCGTACCCAAAGGGTAAAACGGGACCCTATTACTAAGACTCCGCTGTCCGTCCGTCTGTCATCAGGCTGTATCTCATGAACCGTGTTAATTAGACAGTTGAAATTTTCACAGATGATAGATATATTTCTGTTGCCGCTATAACAACGAATACTAGAAAACAGAATAAAATAAACTATTTAAGGAGGCTTCTCTTTATAAATAATTGTACGGAATCCTTCGTGCGCGAGTCCGACTCGCACTTGGCCGGTTTTTATTGACAAGTGACAATAAATTGAAAGATTTTTATTAGTACTTATAAAAAATGATATTTCATTCTAAAAAGATAAAATCGAATAATAAGTATATTAATAAAAAAAAATAAGTGATTTTTGTCTCAAAATGTTATTTTAATTGAATGACTATTTTAAATAAAACTATATTTTCGGATTATTTCGCGGATTTATTTTGATTTTCGGTTCCGAAAAATACAAGGGGAACCAAAAATCAAAATAAAACCGCGAAATAATCCGAAAAGATAGTTTTATTTAAAATGTCATATATTTGCGTAAATCTAAGAAAGTATTAATTGAATGACTATTTAAATGTTTTAAATACAAAAAAAAATGCGCGGACAAACACACATATACTTAATGAATGTATCTATACATACAGCTATAAAATTTTGTATACCCATTTGCTTGGAAGCCCCTAATAGATTATCATAATATACTATAAATATTTTGCAGTTCCAATAATATTACGTACATAAGTGTGAAATTTATAACCTCCTTTTATTGAAGTCGGTTAAATATGTGTTTTGGATAACAAATAATCAATCCCTCCACGACCACGGATACGCCGGCGTGTCAGTTAAAGATAGATTTCTTAGAATTTTAATTAATTTCTTAGTAATTTACCCGGAGGTGTTAATAGAGTTGTGTGAGATTTTTTGTTAATTTGCTATATAATGCGAATATCTACGTATCTTCGTGACATGCGCACGCGCACGTGCAAATACATTAAATGTAAGACATTTATCATATATGTAGGTAATTTTAAAAACTTTTATTTAAACTTGTAAAACATCTCAAACATAATATTAATTATTTAATTAAATAAATATTCAATATCCAAGCGACGATGATATATTATTTTTATCATATAATACCTTCTTAGATTTACGCGAATAGTTGACATTTTGAATAAAACTGTCTTTTCGGATTTTTTTTTATTTTTTCCCCTTTTCGAAACGTTGAGAACAAATATCAAAATAAAGCCGCCAAAAAATTCATAAAGATACATCGTTTTATTTATAAATCGTTTGGATTTTTTTAACACAACACATATATAACTTTAAATACATGTATATAATAAACTAACGTGCTTCCCAATGCAAACTTTCATTCCCATTTTCACCTCGTTAAGGGATAATTTCCAGAATAAAAAGTATCCTATGTCCTTTCCAGGGTCTCAAACTATCTTGTTACCAAATTTTATCTAAATCGGTTCAGTAGATCCAGAGATTACCCCCTACAACGTCACAAACTCACAAACTTTACCTTTTTATAATATTAGTATAGATATATGTATAGGTTTATTACACACATATATATATATATACATATATATATATATATATATATATATATATATATATATATATATATATATATAGCTATGCAATCTCTGTTCATAATCTACTCTGCACTGTTGTCTGTGAGAGCGTTGTTGCGTATAGTACCTATTGCTGATATATAATTTATATACATATATGAATATTATTGTACAATGTCGAAGTTTTGATGATAGTCCTAAGGTGATAGACCGTTATGATGATCAAGGTAGACCCTTAGTTTGCAATTACCACGTCGAAGGTAACGGGTTCAAATCGGACATGCTCAGTTCGTACATCTGTGTTTATAACTTGCACTACTACTGGCTTACCCTCACTTCTCTCGTGTGAGCCCCTAAGTGTCTTTTGCATTTTATAATATTCCCACACTATATTTTTACCATAATATATATATTATTAAACAATTATTAAACACACAACACAAAACATATTATTAAACATACATTAATACCATAATACATATATTAATTACATATTCTCTATAATTTTACCATAATATATCTTAACTTAACTGCCTCGGTGGTGTAGTGGCTAGCATGTACGGCTGCACACCCGGAGGTCCTGGGTTCGAGTCCAGGGTCGGGCCAAGTTTAGTTATTGAGTCTTTCTGTATAGTAAGTCTCAGTAACAGCCCGGAGTTGGGAAGTTGGCGGTGTTTCACCCCCCTGCCTCGGAGAGCACGTAAAGCCGTCGGTCCTGCGCCTTAACTCTCACCGGCCGTGTCGAGTGGTCGTCCCACCGGAGTATGAGAGTGATAGGAATAGAAAGTACACCTGCGTCTGCGCGTACACTTGAGCACTATAATATCTCCTGTGCAGTTGGCTAATCTCAATGAGATTGGCCGCCGTAGCCGAAATCGGCTAGGAGAACATCAATATATCTCTTTATTTAACGGTTTGTTAGAATAGATAGTCTATATAAATAAATAAATATGATGGTACACTAACACATAGCACCACCATCTAGTTCCATGGTAAGCTACGAGGCCTGTGTTATGGATACCGGATAGTTAATACACTATACATATATAAATACATACATATTATAAATATAAACACCCATGACTGGAGTACAAACATTCGTGCTAATCACACAAATCAACACCCCAGCGGGACTCGAACTCACGACCGCTGGCACCGCAAGTAAGGTCTCTACAAACTGAGCCAAACGTGTCGTCTCTATATATTATATAGGTATACATAAATAAGATGAGTTGTTGTGGGTTGTATTATAACGTGCTTTCCCGTGGGAATGAGATAATCTCCCGCTGTAAAGTAGCGTAAGTCACTCTACAGCCCTCCAACTATCTCCACACAAAAACTCACACCAATCCATCACTCTGTTTCGACGTGAAAGAAGGACAAACAAACAAACACACTTTCACATTTATAATATTATAGTATAGTATGGATACCAGAATATATACGAGAATGTTTAGGTCATCTTTATATCTGTATTCTGTAGCAACAAAAACAAAGGACTTTGGTGCTTTCATTTCAAATTTTATTTTCTATCTCTATACCAAATTCATCAAAATATTTCAGCGGTTTAGGCGTGAAAACGAACAGACAAACAGACAGTGTTACTTATTTATCTGTGAACTAAGATTTATCCAAATCTGTTCAGCTGCTTCAACGTGTATAAGTAATAAACGCACTCTTATTATAAAAAATATTTTATGGCATACTAGCATTGCCCGCGGCTCCGCCCGCGTTCAGATGACCAAAAACCAAATTGTTAGGTTTTACAGATTAGTGTACTCTTACATTGCAATTTCTGTATTTTTTCTCAGAAATTAGATAACCAGCTACCATCATACCGAATTTCATCAAAATCCGTCCAGTGGTTTTTCCGATGCGGTAACAGACAGACAGACAGACAGACAAAAATTCTTAAAACTATAGATTCGGCCTCTGTATCGAAAATAATGTCTATTTCAATAAGATTTTCCAAAAAATATTTTATGTACAGATTCGGCTTAGTTACAATTTTATTATAGTATGTATAGATTTTATGATGCGGTAATAGAGACCTGTTGTAGGTAGACGGAAAGTAAGGTATATATTCATGTTCAATTTTCAAACCGTTTAGTTGTATCAACTACGTATGTAGTAGCTATCAACTGCACCGAGGGCGACGGGTTCAAATCCCGTTTGTATATCATTTTGGTTGATCGAAACAGCCATTTTACACTATACTAATTTTCATTATGGGTGTAATTTAATAGAATAATTCGGTCATCAGATGTCGGTGGGCCTTCAACGGCGCGTGCCAGCGCTGGACGAGGCGGGGGGTGGCGTGCCGGCCGCTTGGAAGTCGAGCGAGCCCCCTTTTCCTGCGTTCGCGCCGCCCGCTGGCTCCCCCGCCGGCCCGGCCTTCGCTGCCTCCCCCGCACCCTCCACCCCCGGCCCTGGACCCGGCTTCGCTGGTCCATACGCAGCAGCCGGGCCCTTCGGCAGCCCCTCAGCGAGACCAGGGTCGGGGGGTGGCTTCCCCCCTGGACCACAACAGGGCCACTTTCCGGGCCCAGGGTTCGCGCCACCCGGGTCGCCGTTCCACCCCCACCCCCCACATCCGCCGATGCCACCGCATCCGCACATGATGGCGCCTTTGCCGCCTCCTGTTGACAGGTTAGTTATAATTTTTTTTTTTTATAAAAAAAGTAATTACTTATATTTTAATATAGGTCTTTCTGTTTTTCCGAAAAGCGTATCCTCTCAGTATTATCTTGTCAGTGTCTTTTCTCGTCATTTTACGTGACATTGGCAAAGAAAATTGTGTTTAACTGTCAAACGTTGAGAAAATATTTCGAGTTGAGTTTTTACTTTTTTTTTAATATTTTATGGTAGATAATGAAAGTCAAGTGTTGTTGTTTTTTTTACTATATGTATTAGTAGGTATAAACTATTTTCCTCGAGTAAATAAAATACATATGTAAGTAAATACATTTTCTATATATAAAACAATGTCGGGTTTGTTACAACACTTATAATTCGAGATATGCACGACCGATTTTTATGATTATTATTCTATTGGATTTGTCTTCACCATGAATAACAGAATGACTATTAAAACATCGGAAAAATTCACAAAAAAAAGAAATTAAAAAAAAAAACTATTCCATACTAAGTATCATTAAATATATCAGTGTAAATACATATATATATATATATATATATATATATATATATATATATATATATATAGATCTTATATGTATCATCGGCAGTGTCATTTATCGAAACGATCTGTCAAATGTATAATTTCTAGATCTCGTCAGTTTGACTCCATTCTGATTAATTAATGAACGCGTTGAATAAATACATAGTGCTATATATATTTTGTTTTATAAATAATAATAATATTATAACTTACTAGCGACTCACCCTCGCTTGTGCTGTCCCATACAAAATTTCATCCCCATTTTCAACCCCTTAAGGGATGATTTCCGGGATAAAAAGAGGTTAAGTTTGTGGGTCTGTGAGTTTGTGATCATCTATGTAGTAGAGTAGGGGATAATCACTGGAACTACTGACCCGATTTGGATGAAATTTGGTAATAAGACAGTTTGAGACCCTGGGAAGGGCATAGGATACTTTTTATCCCGTAAATAATCCCTTAAGGTGGTGAAAATGGGGATGAAAGTTTGTACGGGAAATCAAGCCGAGAGTTGGTAAGTAGGGACGAACCCGAACCAATCGAGGGCGAGTCGTTAGTTTATAATAAAATCCTTATGGAATCCATCAACTGGTGTACGATACGATAGCCTTCATTGTGCAAGAAGATCCGAAAGACAAAGCTAGTTTAGATTCGATCGTATGTAAATTCAAAAGACGCGACGCTTGTAGGCAGTAATAGTAGATCTTATGTGGCTTCTACGCTATATTATATTATGTTAATGTTTTTATTTATAAAATTAAAGTGCCGTTTGCATAATTAATTTATGTTCATGGCAATATTTAGCGATGGGTGTCTCGTATGATATCTTATTAAACCGACTTTGAAGAGGAGAGGTACTCGATTTGTTTTTTTTTTTGTGTGTGTGTGGGCGTATGTTATGCGATGTCACTGTCGATTTTTATGATACTTTTGGTTATATTTCAAGGATAGACAATTAAATTAAAAAAAAAAATACTCCACCCAATATGGCGGAATGTTTATGTTTATGTGAATACGAAGCTGAGGTAACTTTTTAGTTTACTTACCAGTTGGATGGTGATTTTTAAAATGTGCTATCAATTTTGATAATGTTTCGTAAAGTTAGATAGATTAAATATTATAACTCTATTATTTTTACTATAGCTGTGCCCCGCGGTTTCACTTTCGTTGAATTTGTTTGATTATATTAGGTATATTTACGATAATGTATGGAAGTCTGCCCAATTTGTTGACATTTATGATTACTGCTCCGCTCCCTTGGGTAGTAGCATGATGATATATAGCCTATGGCCTTCCACAATAAAAGGGCTATCTAATGCAAAAAGAATTTTTGAAATTGGATTAGTGGTTCCTGAGATTAGCACGTTCAAACAAACATACTCTGCCCATATTATTAGTATATATTTACCTTTTTTTTATAAATTTAGTTATAAAAAGTCTTAAAGAACAGCAAATTCATATGTAATTAGTTACTAAAGGCGGCACATTAGTTAGAACAAAGAGTGACGTCACATCCTACGTCAACAGATTAGTAATATTGACATTTACATAGTGTTTATAATGTTTGATTAGAAATAAAAACTTTTTAAAAAATTATAAAAACCGACTTCCAGGCACTAAAATGTAAAAAATAACTAAACGGAGGTTTTCATTTAGAATAGATATCTAATCAGATATTTTCGAAGTCGGTGCCAGCCTACAATATTTTAAGATATGAATTGAGAACCTCCTCCTTTTTGGAAGTCGGTTAAAAATAGTTTTTACTGCAATCTTTTACTTCATTAAAGCACTTTTAGCCGTTGATGTACCACGGTTTTAGCATCTATGACAATATAACAGTAATTTACCGATCATCAAAAAAGTGACATGAGCATAGTATGTGACGTCACTTACAAACGTCTGAACATGGCGGTGTTCGAACCGCTCTTATTTATTAAATATTTTAACTATTTTTTTATAAATTAATCGAAACATCTCTTAAGGTTTTTATGCGATGGTATTTAAACAATGAATAATTAAAATTAAAAAAAAAATACAGATATGCGTATACCTTATTTGGTTTGAGGGTTATACAAGGTATTTTTAAAGGGAAAAATGACTGTCTTTTTTTTCTATGATAATATATACTGCGAAAAGATAAAAATATATCTAAATAAGAATCATGCGCTTCGCAAATCGTTTCAAGGTCGGCACGTACAGCTAATTATTAACAGGGTAAAAATTATCCTGTACCGTCTCATGTGAGCAAAAATATTTCAATCGTTCTAAAGATGAGTGGACATGGTCGAAGGGACAAACCGATATAGTCTATTAGGGCTACTTATCTATAGGTACAGGTAGATAAAATTAAAGTGTCTGTGTGTAATTAAGTACCTAACTACGGTACAATAAGAAACTATTTTTAATTTTTTTTTCTGTCTGTCAGTCGATCTGTCTATCTGTTCGTTCGGGCTAATCTCCGAAATGGATGGACCGATTTGACAAGACTTTCACTGGTAGATAGCTGGTGTTATAAGGAGTAACTTAAGCTACTTTTATTTTAGAAAAAGAATCAAGGTTCCGTCCAAAAAATTAAAACCAATGAAATTGTGAACAAAATCCGCGTATCTAAGCATCCGAACGTAGCGAGGATAACTCGCTTGTGCCAAAAAATAATACTAAAAGTTACTTTGTTCATTTAACAGCTCACAGCTGAGAATTGGCCTCCCTTCAATGTGAGAAGGCCTTGTGTAAAATCTGTCAAATCTGCCAAAAGATGGCCACCTACCAAAATCTGGTGAAGTACATTTTTGATATTATTAAATAAAACTATCTTTTCGGAGACATGTAACACCTTCTGTCTCTCCCGTGACCATGGATGCTGTAAAGCATACGAAACGTCGGGAACCAAAAATCAAAATGAATCCGCGAAATAATCCGAAAAGATAGTTTTATTTAATAATGTCAAACATTCGCGTAAATCTAAGAAAGTATTACATTTTTGATTCAAATATCTTTCAAAGACTGGTTAGGTTCTCTCAGAAATGCACATTTGCTCATGAGCTTTTCTAACCAAGTTAGCAAAATTGTTAGTTATATGTGTCTAGCAAACGTGAAGTTATAAGTACGTATTGTTTAGCTTTCGCTGACTTCTTTAGGATATTTAAATCAAATTAGTGTTTTGCCAGTAATAGATTTTTTTTTATTGATTGCTGAAGCTTGCAATAGCTACTAAACTAAAAAAAGATAAACAGAGGAGAAAAAGGTACTGAACTGAACTGTTTTCTCTTTGCCTATTTATATGTATGTATATAGAATAGCGACTCACTCTCGTTTTGCTCGAGTTCGTCCCTAATGCCTGTTCACTCTAGCCTTGAAGGTACTTGGATTCTAGGTGACAGGAAACACGGATGCTGGAAGGGTGTTCCACTCCTTAGCAGTTCGATTCAGAATTTATGCCTATTTATTAACCGACTTCCAAAAAGGAGGAGGTTCTCAATTCGTCGGAATCTTTTTTTTTTATTATGTTCACCGATTACTCGAAGACGCCTGACCCGATTTGGAATTTTTTTTTATTCAAAGGTTATATTTCCCAGGTGGTCCCATATAAATTTTATCGAAATCGGTCAAGCGGTTTTTTTTTAATAAATTGCTTAATCGAACATGTTATTAACAAACTTTCTTCTAACAAATTACCTGCTTATTACGTCTACACTAAAAAAAAAACTAAAAAAAAAGATGATTTACGGGATAATAAATATCCTATATCCTTCCCAGGTTCTCAAACTATCTTCTTACCAAATTTCATGTAAAACGGTTCAGTAGTTTAGGAGCTTATTCGGTACAAATAAACAAAAAAAATTGTCCTCTTTATAATATTAGTATAGATAAGTAGTCCATTCGTAAAGTGTTTGTTTAGAAAACCAAGTGTAGAAGGTTCAAATCCGCGTCTTCGAGATCTTTCGTGTGAATCATTTTGAACTTGATTACTATACATTTGACTAATTCGGCGAAGAAAAACATCGTGAGGAAACCTGGCATGTTGGAGATCCTCACGAGACTCCACAAAGAATGTGCAAAAGTGGGCTTGGAATCCATCTTGCAATGAGATAACGCCCAGAACGTGCCCAGCCGTGGGACTTCAAAACCGGCCAATTATTATTATTATTTAACCATGTTTAATAAAAAAATATCTATCAAAATACAGATTATACTTAAAAATATTACTCTACATGGTCTTAACCTCATTTGGCATCTCCAATTTGACAAAATAAAGTACATATTTTAAGAAAAAAAAATAGCTCCAATGCATGATGGTAAAGCGAATTATCCGTTCTAAGCCTGTGTGCGTCCCGCTCTATGTGTGCGAGCTATAAACTGTGACTGTGTGAGTGCAAATAAATGTAGGTGAACGTATATATGAGGTAGCGTTGTGTAGAGAAGTGTTCATTAAAATTTATTAATCTCCAAATGGTATTTTTTCAACGGTTTTCAATATTTTGGCAAAGTACATAAAAATTTCAGCCTAATTTTTATGTTGAGTATATAATTGTGATTGCGTATTTTAGTTTTTATGGATCGGTTTTAGTGGTTTTAGTTTTTTTTTTTATAAATGCATATTTCAATAAGTAAAATGTTCTTTGTAAGTCATATATTGAATGTTAAATTAGTGTGCTCTTAGTGTTTTAAATTATAATCGATAATACATATTATTATAACGATTATGATCTGATATGTAAGTGGTGAGTACAGTATACTGTTCGTAAATTGTAGTTTGATGACAAACAGTCTTCAAACTATATTTTTGTTAATATTTGGATGTAATATGTATTTTTTTTCGTGCTTATGTGACTATGTGTTCTAATGTTTATAAATAGTTTTTAGTTTTATTTATAGTTGTCTTTCTATGCAAGAAGTATAGACAATTATTTATAAAATCTAAAGGTGAACTAATTTAAATTATTGTAATAATATACAAAATTCAAAAATCTAATATTGTTAGTAACAAGTGTAGTTGTCGTATAACATTATCGTGCATTCCAAATATTTGAAACTAGCGACTCACCCTTGCTTCGTTTGGGTTGGTCCTTAGCTTGCTTCCCAGTTCAAACTTTCATCCCCATTTTCACCCCTTCAAGGGATGATTTCCGGGATAAAAAGTATCCTATGTCCTTCCCAGGGTCTCAAACTATCTTCTTACCTAATTTCATCTAAATCGGCTCAGTAGATCCAGATATTATCCCCTGCAACATCACAAACTCACAAACTTTACCTCTTTATAATATTGGTATAGATTATATATTGTAACTCATAATACCCTCAATACCAAATTTAAAACGATACCAAATATTTATTTATTTTATATTAATCACCACTGCGAATATCTAAAAAAAATAAAACAGGTGCAAACAGCAGACCGGTGTAGGCGACAGTACGCGCCCACCCCGAGTACTACCTACATATCTATCTCTACGTATACACCGACCAGTGACACTTGACCCGCCTCGCCCCCCGCGAAGTGAACGCTCGTGTGCTAGAGGGCGAGCGCGGGCGACGTTACACGGCTCAAGACACACTGGCCATGTACATAAGTAAAGACTATAGAGTCGCTCGCTCGAGTGTCGTCTGCCCGCGCTCCGATCAAAATCATTCGAAATACGAAATGGTTTGACGTTTTCTTGATATATATATATTTTTTTAATTTTCATTTCAGCCAGTGTTTATGGGTGGGGTTTTTGTTTTTTTTTCTGTCAATAATATATTAAGTATTTTGGCTGTGGCCAAGTTTGTTACGGTTTAGATGTTATTTTTTTTTTGCTATGATTTTAAGTAAAATTTAATTAAGTAGAAATAATACAAAAGAAGCTGTATGTGTACGTATTATGTTTTAACGAAACTGCTCACTAATCAGATACGAATGAAACTTCTCATTAGCAATATCATTAGCTTGATTATAATCATTGAGGACACATTTAGCTCAGTTTATAGTGACCCTACTTGCTGTGCCAGCGGTTGTGAGTTCGAGTCCCGCTGGGGGCATTCATTTGTATGATGAGCGCGAATGTTTGTACTCCATTCATGGGTGTTTATATTTGTAATATGTATGTATTTAAAGTTATATATGTGTAATGTATCAACTATCTGGTATCCATAACACAAGTCTCGTAGCTTACCATGGAACTAGATGGTGCTGTGTGTTATTGTCCCAACATATAAAAAAATGAGCAAATCAATTCTGTAGTTTTCAAGTAATCGCTTACTAACAAACAGCATTTCTTTTTAGGTCTGTCAGAGGGCTGTATCTCACGAACCGTAATAGGTAGATAGAAAGTTGAAATTATCACAGAATATGTATGTCTATTGCCGCTATAACAACAAATAATAAAAATAAATTAAAAAATATAAGAAACTTTTTTTTGAACGTTTCGTAATCGATCGTCGAAGTTAATGTCTTATACTACATACTAGCGGACCCGACAGACGTTGTCCTGTCTACACGTCTTTAATTTGAAAATTTTAAACTTTTTTTGTGTATTTTTTTGGAACGGCTTACCTCTGCTAAAATTTCACCCTTCGCCACTGCTACATACATAGAGTAAAAGTCACATTAATAAAAAGTACGTGTACGAAACCCTTCGTGTGAATTGGGACTCGCACTTGACCGATTTTTATTATATAGATAAGATTAATTTCTTTATTTCTCAATGAAACTTTCATCACAATCAGACAAGATATATTTATCGTTTTAATATATTAAAGGTATTTACTAATTAATTATAAATATGTGGAACAAATGCGGAATAATAATTTTATTTTTAAAATCACACTTAAGAAACGATTCATTCAACCAAACGAGCCCAAACTCGAAGGTCAAGAGTCACCAGTAGCCATTGAAGAGTTCCACCATCCACCTCCCGCGACCAGCATCAGATCAGCTCGATGGTATTGAATTGTTGCTTCCAATATTTTTCCAAGATTTGATTACATAGCATGAAGCTAATTAAAGCTTTTTAATATTAAAATTAAAAAAAAAACCTGTGTGTGTACGTTATGTACGCACGTAAGAAGTTATACTTCTTTGGCGTAACAGAACAATAATAGGTAAAGATTTCATCCCGTATGTCACAACTCTCTGTTTGTAAAAGGAACGCAGCTAACTTCATCATGTCGCTTTTTGGCTGTCGGTGTGCGCGCGCATCGAAAAAATTTTACTCTCATATTTTTTCCAAACGTGCCAAAAGAAGTATAACTTCAAAAATAATTACAAAAAAAAAACATTTTTCGAGAACACACCGATTCTTCTAGATATTCTAGTATCTAATTTAATACTAAGACGATCTATTGAATGTATTGTATATTTGTGATCCTCGCGCTTTTGAAGTCGGTTAAAAGGAACTTACCTAGCAGCATTATAACAGAAAGAGATGATCCCTCGAGTTTTTGTACGGATAACAAAAAACTTACATACCGTTAGATAGCGCACTTTCACTTGCTTTTGTCACGTTTGAGCGGATTTAGTCCATATACGAGTAAGTTGTGATGCTACTGCAGTTTGGAGTTAGTTAAAATGAAATATGTTTATAATATTTTATTCTCTGAGTACACTTGGATTTACATTACGTTTCATCTCATATTTGCGACAAGCTTCGAGGGTTTGATCCCATCTCTTTTTGAGTTCCACGTCCGGTTGGGAATAAAGTGAAGCGGGTTCAAATCCCGGGTCTAGCATCTCTAGTACTCTTATGCTCGGGTTCGTCTCTAGGTACGTTTTAAATGGTCAGTATGGAATAGATAGACTATATATTATATAACTAATATTATAGATGTGAAAGTTTAGATGGATGTTTGGATGTTTGTTACTCAATCACGCCAGAACGACTGAACGAACGGATCTGTATAAAATTTATCACAGAGATAAATTAAAGTCTGAAATAACGCATAGGCTAATTTCTATCTCGGAAAAATGTACGGTTCCCGTGGGATAGATTTGTTTTTGTTTTTCTAGAGGCGAAACCAAACGAAGCAATGGAGAGCCGCTAGTGTATGATATTATAGCCTTCCTCAATAAACGGGCTATCTAATGCAAAAAGAAATTTTCAAATCGAGACTAGTAGTTTCTGAGATTAGCGCGTTCAAACAAACAGACTCTACCTCTTTATAATATTAGTATGATGTTCTCCTAGCCGATTCCTGCCACGGCGGCCAATCTCATTTAGACTAGCCAACTGCGCAGGAGATATTATAGTGTACGCGCAGACACAACGTGCACTCTCTATTCCTGTCACTCTCATACTCCGGTGGGACGACACGGGACACGACCGGTGAGAGTTAAGGCGCAGGACCGACGGCTTTACGTGCTCTCCGAGGCACGGGGGTCAAACACCGCCAACTTCCCAACTCCGGGCTGTTACTGAGACTTACTATACAGAAAGACTCAATAACTAAACTTGGCCCGACCCGGGACTCGAACCCAGGACCTCCGGATGTGCAGCCGTACATGCTAGCCACTACACCACCGAGGCAGTTAATATTAGTATAGATTTGCATTGGCTGTATAGATGTTGGTCTCAGCTTCCAAAATCAACAAAAACAATCGTAGATACGAAACCGCATCGATCGTAAACAATACTCTATAGGCCTCTCGTTACGTAAATAATCACGTTTTTAAGACAACTGTTAAAATTTAATGTTAGTATTAAATTTTAAATGTTACATAACAGTGAGAATGGAATATGGTTACACGTTTTAGTAAATTTTGAATGTGGTTGCGTGTGTGGTTGTTTTGCTTTTTATCTATAATCAAGCAAGCAACTCGCACTCGGTTCGCTCGGGTTCGTCCCTATAGGTTTATTCCCCACACAAACTTTCATACCCATTTTCACCCCCTTCAGGGATGATTTCCGGGATAAAAAATATCCTATGTCCTTCCCAGGGTCTCAAACTATCTTCTTACCGAATTTCATCTAAATGGATTCAGTAGATACAGAGATTACCCCCTACAATTCACAAACTTTACCTCTTTATAATATTCGTATAGATTATCGTAACTCGCGATAACTCGGGTGCGTCACTAAGATCGAATGGTTTAGGTACTCATAAAAAGCAAAGGTCAGTAGAAAAAATATTTTTTTTGTGCCAAAAAAAAGAAAAAACGCTTAAGTTTTTTTTGCGCCAGGAACTTTCTCAGGCCTATACAGAATAAACCAACAGTGTTTCACCACAATCGGATCGATTGTCTAGGAAAGCATAGAGGACAAATATACGAACATTCATTTATATTTATATAATACTAGCAGAACCCGCGGCTATCTATACATCTCGTATAATAAAATTGTAAGTAAGCCGAATCTGTACATTAAATATTTTTTGTAAATTTTAATGAAATAAATATTATTATCGATACAGAGGCCGAATCTATAGTTTTTTGAATTTTTGTCTGTCTGTCTGTCTGTCTGTCTGTCTGTCTGTCTGTGTGTCTGTCTGTCTGTTACCGCATCACAGAAAAACCACTGGAGGGATTTTGATGAAATTTGGTATGATGATAGCTGGTTATCCGGGTCAACATAGAGGATACTTCTTACCGCGGGAAAATATCTCATTTCTGAGAAAAAATACAAAAACTGCAATGTAAGAGCATACTAATATTTGATTTTTGGTCATCTGAACGCGGGCGGAGCCTCGGGCAATGCTAGTGTTATATATGCGCGGTTATATTATAAATGTAAAGACGGTGGTATTGCGCTCGCTTAGGAAACCGAGTGATGCGGGTTCAAATCCCTGGTCCAGCACCTCTGATATTTTCATGAACAAATCATTTCTAACATGACTGTCGCATGCCTTACGGTGAAGGAAAACATCGTGAGGAAAACTGCATTGCATGACTGAGAAAACCTAGCAAGTATTCGAAAGACATGCTCAGTCCGCCCGCACTTGGCCAGCGTGGTGGACTATGGCCTGATCCCCCTCGTATTGAAGGGAGGCCCACGCCCAGCAGTGGGACGTAAAAAATGTGCTGAATACACTATACAACAAAGTATCAAAATTGGTTCTCAATTAGCGTAGATAATCTTTAACATATACACAAAATTATACACTCCATTTAATAACTCCTTTTGTAAAGTCTGTCTAAAAAATGTAGACTTTATATTGTATCATCGCACGGGAATCGAATCCGCGAAATCCCTTTTAGTTATTAGGTTATATTATACTCTTTTCATTCTTCAGGTTAATATATAGCCTATGACACTCAGAAAGAACGTGGCTTTCTATTGGTAAAAGAATTTTGAAAATCGGTTCAGTAGATCCAGAGATTACCCCCTACAACGTCACAAACTCACAAACTCACAAGATCACAAACTTTACCTCTTTATAATATTAGTATAGATAACTTGTATGTAACATACAAACATACATTTCTCCATCATACAAAATCAGGAGGGTCTCTCACTTTTGCCTCTCACCAAAAACCATTAGAAGACAATTTGTGTGGCCAATACAAATCTGTCACTTGGCATCGAACTCCAGACCTTCTGAGTGAAGTTAACAAATAACTTGAATTAAGAGGCATCACAGTGTCAGATGGTAGTGTATATCAAAAGGTTACAATATGTACCGTAACCTATATTTAGCAATCGAGGGGTGCGGAGCTAAGAAACCCACCCCCCGGATTGTGAAGCGCCCCTCACTGTAAGGGTGGATGAATTTCTATGGGATTCAGAGACTTTTTCATGATGATTTTGTAATTTTTGATGAATAATCGTTTAGATTTTTGGGGAATTAGTGCAAATGTTTGCAGGTTTTTTATTATATTAATTCAATGTATTCTAGGAGGTGATAATCTATACAGATAAATAAAATTGAAGTGTCTGTTTGTCATGTCAAAATAACAGCTTTTTACTAAATGCATATGAAATTATATACGGTACTTATAGGAAAAACACTTTTTTTTTCATTTTAGTCCGTCTGTTTGTTCCGGATAATCTCTGAAACGGCTGGACTGATTTTGACGGGATTTCATCGAAAGATAGCTGATGTTATAAGGAGTAACATAGGCTACTTTTATTTCAGAAAAATTTAAACGTACCCAGGGACGAACCCGAGCGAAACGAGTGTGAGTCGCTAGTTATTGATAACAACGATAACTGTCAAAATATTGTCATTTTTGTGTATGTCACCGTAAAATTGTAAATACCGTTAGATTATTATAGTCTATCTGGCGAGATTGTAAACTGCCGAAAGATTGTGAACCGTAACATGCTCTGTTTACAATTTAACGCTTTATTTTTCGGTAGATTATAATAGTTTGTCGAAATGAAACCGTCATATTGTGAAATGGAAGAATTTACCATAGAGTTACAAAACTATTACAGTGGGCACAATAAAAATAGTAAGAAATATGTATGAGAAATCTTAGATGCAAATATTATAAAGAGGTAAAGTTTGTGAGTTTGTGACGTTGTAGGTGGTAATCTCTGGATCTACTGAACCAATTTAGATGAAATTTGGTAAGACGATAGTTTAAGACATACGATACTTTTTATCCCGGAAATCATCCCTTGAAGGGGTGAAAATGGGGATGAAAGTTTGTATGGTAAATCAAGCTAGGGACGAACTCGAGCGAAGTGAGGGTGAGTCGCTAGTCAAAGAATACAAAGAGATTGACATCGAATAAAATAAATTCTGTCTATCTGGGTACGCATCACAAGAAAACCACTGGACAGATTTTGATGAAATTTGGTATGGTGATAGCTGGTTATCCGGGTCAACATATAGGATACTTTTTACCGCGGGAAAATATCTCATCTCTGAGAAATCTATACTAACCGTACGAATAACCGGACGAACCTGAGCGGAGCGAGGGTGAGTCCCTAGTCTATACGTATACCTACCTAATAAAATATTACTAGTAAAAAAAGCGAAATATGTATATGAAATATTTTTTTAAAA